TTATTTTTGTTACTTCTGTTTGGAGATGTGCAGGAGTAAGTAGAAACATTCAGGAGTATCCATGATTTGCTGTGTTGTTTCTTATCTCGGGTAATCCCTTCTTCAGTATTCTGCTGGGTGGAGACTCCAGCAAAGAACAGGATCTGTAGCGGGGAGCTGGCTGGTTCCGGGCGAGGGGGGTGTCCGTGCTGGCTCCGAGGATGCTGCATCCCAATGTCTGACAGCAGCAGTGCTCCACGCTGGGGCACAGCTGGGGCACAGCTGGGGCACAGCTGGCTGCCAGGGCCAGCAGCACTGGGCAGCAACTCCACCTTCTCCCAGGAGATCAGCACCTCAGGCTCCCAAGTCACTGGGAAGCACAGCCATTGAAATTGGGATCAGTCATGAATTTTGTAAGAGTATATTTGGAGTTGGGAGCAAAAATCTGAAACACCACTTGTTTTACAGAAACATGGCTATGGTAAATAAAAATCACAATAATAACTATTTCTTAGGAAGACATTAACTAAAATGTATTTTTTGAAAACAGATATAAATAAATGTAAAAAAATCCACTGTAAATTACAGAATATAAGTGCCATCAGTATTGTGTTATGATACGTAGCAAACAAGCCAGAATTCGCTAATTTACAGATTTCATGAAGTATTAGTATTTTTGAATGACTGTGAAGATTTAAAATGTTGATTTAATTCCTCAGATGTAAGATCTGAAAACCTGATGTCTTTTTTTTTGTCTGTTTTCCCCCATAGGATTTTGCACAGAGCTCAGGCCAAGTGGAAAATCAGTTCTTTCAGCAGAGGGGTATGTTCCCTGCAGTGTAACAGAGTAACAACTGGGTAACAAAATGTGTAGATACTGTGATTTAAGTTCTTTCAGTTGGCATGGCTGAAAAGGAGTACAGTACATTTACAGTTTGGGCGTGGGCTCCCTACACATACACGTCTTCCAGTCTGCTGCTGGTCTATCAGGGATTCAGACTGTTAATCTTTATTCAATGCTACGTGGTATCGTGTCTTAAAATGTGATACTGTACCTATGCATATTTAATTAGCTGACACAAAGGCTGCCTTCAAAAGTTTTAGGTTACAGGAGCTACACAGCTATGCCAATACACTCAGGGAGCCAGAAATCTCTAAAATACTGTCCTGTAATTGTCCTTTAAAGTTTGTCAGTTTGCAGAAGAGTCGTGATTTTTTTTTCCCCCCTCAGTTATTATATAAATATTATTGTAAATGCAGTCAACCTTTTTAGGCTAAACATTTGAAAGATTCTCAGCTGAGATGGCTGTTACTTGCTAAACACATCTGAAATTCAAGTGTTGATGGGCATCTGGTCTTGAGAATTGTGCATAAAATGCGACGCTCAGACAGTCCTTTCTGCCTCGTAAGTAGAAATCCACCACCATTTCCTCAGTATTTGCCAGGAGGTGAGTGGTTCTAGGTCAGAAGCATCAAGTTTTTGTTTAAAAATACATTACAAAATGAGAGTAACTTTATGGACATTTTTACTGTCAACATCAGACATCTCAGTCTGAAACAGACTCGTGCAGTCTCTGCAGCACCAAGTTTCCAGGATTGTATTTCCATTAGATTCTTCTCAAGAAACATCTAAAATCCAAGTGGAAAACTTGCTTTTTATTTTCACTATTCAAACTGGAGGAACTTTTAAACAAAAAATGTGGTTACATGTGAGTGGGATTTCTAAACATACCCCAGTTGCAAAAAAGTTAATAATAGTGTAGGCAGGATTATTTTTATCTCTTATATCACTTGAATGTGAAGGATGGTATCCCCTCAAAAAATGGGAATAACACAGATGGGAATAAAACCTGGAAGCACAAACTTTATAGTGGGGTGCTGCATGGAGGGTCAGACGCTCAAACTTGGCACAGTGAAGTCCTGCCCACATCTGCACAGTCTCAGGAGTGAAAGCTGCATTTGTGCTCGTGCTCTGAGCTCTGGGGAGTAGGGTGCACAACTCTCCTGCAGCCCTTTGTGGTAAAAAAAAAGAAACTGCTGAGAAGAAAATGCCACTGAGGCTGCCCAGAGTATAATGGGGCTGAGCTGGTCCACCAGTGTGTCCAAGAACAAAGTGTGAAAAGATGTAAAATGTTCCTCTGCACGGGGCAGAGAGTCTGATCAACGAACAAATGGAAGCCTTTGCTCATCAGAGTCTCTGCCCCCATTCTTAAAGCCAAGCACAGATGCCAGGAGCACCATAGCAGTGTCACCCCATGGTCTGAGGAGATTTGGATAGGGGGAAGGGAGTAAATTAGTTGAAGTATCTCAAATTGGCTGCACATTCATTATTCTTGTTTTATTGCCATTTTATCTTAAGAGGGAATAACTTGGTAATTTTATGTTCTGTCTTCAACAGAAAAATTTTTCAGTCCTCAAGATTATCTTGAGCTCTCCAACAGATTCCCCCGGCAGTCCTGGGAAGAAGCTCGACAGTTCTTCTTGAAAAAATAAAGAGTTGTTATTTAGCTTTTAAATCCTTAACATCGTCACACTGCTGACTACCTTCTTTTAAAACACTGTTCCAAAATGGTTTTGATACTCTAAATACTTATCCTATAGATACATAATTTGCACTATTTATATAAGTACTGTAGATACTTCCAAGTTCTGTTTTGTAATTTTGATAATTTGAGTTTATTTCGTTCTTGTATCCAATGTCATGATTTTGGTGTTTTCTGCCCTGTGGTGGGACTTACACTGCAGAACTGCTGAAATACGGTTGCAAATAGAGAAAATATGTTCTATATATCTTGTAATAAAATAACTTATTCTGTCTTGTGTGATTCCTGTGTTAAAATCATCAGTATGTTTGAATTACCATAAGCAACACGGCTCAAAAAGAGAGGAAAAAAATACTCATGAGATGTCTTTCTCGGTAATCAAGAGTCAGTCAAAATCAAATCAAAGTAATTCGTCAGATTTGGCCCTGGGGAAAGTTTGCTTATAATTTTTTGGGTGATGGAGGATACGTCACCTAAGGCAGTTTTTAGACCTCATGCATTTTTAACGGCTCGGCTGGACCCGAGCGGGGCTGCCGAAACCTCGCGGCGGAGGCTCCGCGCGCCGCTCCGGCCGCAGCGATCCCGGCCCGGCGCCGATCCGCCGATCCCGGCCCCGCCGATCCCGGCCCCGCCGATCCGCCGATCCCGGCCCCGCCGATCCCGGCCCCGCCGATCCCGGCCCCGCCGATCCCGGCCCGCGGGCCCCGGGAGCACGGCCGGTGCCGGAGTAGTGACCCGGCACCGTGATCGCGGCAGGCAGCAGCACAGTCTCTTCTTGGCGGCCCCAGCGCCGCCCATGGCGGCCCGGCCCGGCCCGCGGCGGGGCTGAGGCGAGCCGCGCGCCTCGCTCCAGCCCAGCGCCGGGGGAACGCGCGGAGCTCCAGCCCGACCGGACGGAGCCAGGTAACGGCGGGGGCCCCGCGGCGGGG